ACTCTCAGGCCTGACTTGACGCAGTCAACACCAGCCCTGGCTTCGCCAGTGGCCACTGCCGCCTGAGAGGACAACCCCGGCTTCTGTGCACAATAAACCCCTCATTCTGGTGCCTTCTGTCTTCTCCTTCCAACAGGGGGTTTGACTTGATAATTTTAGCTAACAAAGTACACACATTCTCATTGCTGTGCCACTACAGTTTGTAGTGATGGTGGACTTTCACAGCACCTACCGCACTCGCTCCTCCTTTCCCATCTGGACCCACTGTCAAGACAGTCAACCTCAGTTAGCAACGGAGGCTAGCAGCCGCACGAAGACCTGGCTGGCTTTGGAGAACCGACGGGTAACCTCGTGGACGTTTTCCCTGCACAAGAGTGTGCTTCTATCGCAGATAGGCTAGGCCGCGATTTGATACCCTGGCTACCACGACCGTCAGGCCCAGTATCAAATGGGAAGAGAAGGCGGACGCCAATGTGGGGGGGGGGACGATAATACATTCTGTAGTGAATAACTGGAGGAGTTGGAGAGAGTTGGCGGCCGGACGAGGGCACGTCCGGCGGCAGGTGAGCGGCGTCCCCAGTGTTCTCGGGGAATGCATCAAAGCATCTCACTCGACCTTGAATCTGATTGGCCGGTTGGAAAGCCGAGTGGCCGAAGGCCAGACAGCCCCATGTGCGCACGTGCAGGCATTCGCGAGGGGCCGAACGTTGAGACAGGCGCCCGGAGTAGGGTCACTACACTTCCTAGATAGGCGAAGCTGTCCATGGTTTTGAGTTAGTTGCCTTTGACACTGATTCGTGGGGGAAGTAAAGGAAGTGGTGTGGTCGACAGACAAAGGTTCCCATATCAGAAGTCAGGGAAGACGGACTGGGTTGGACAACCTTTACTGCTGAGGAAGTGCGGGCATGAAGGCTCTGTAGGCAGTCGCCGCGAGCGCGCTCTCCAGGCCGGTTGTGTTGTCTGTGTCCGCCTTCGCGATGCTCAGTGCGCCTTTCGTTGTCTCAGCGTCCGCCAGCCAATTAGAGGAGGGACAGTGTTGGTTGGCTTCGAGCACTCCCGAGGCTAGTGACAAGCCTCGCACCTCCCAGCGGCGGAGCGACAAGGAGTGTGAGACGGACAGGACGGCAGCGTGATAAAGGCGGCGGACAAGGAGACTCGAACAGTCACAGAGGTTGATGCATGACCACCGTTTTGTCCGTATAATGAGGGTGATAACCATACAATTCATTTTGTGTTATTTATGTATACACAACAAAATGCATTATTACTGCAATTATCGTCTGACGTTCATATATCAGAAACCGCATAGGGGATGCTGTGGAACCCACTGAAGAGTCGAACTCATCGAAGCTGCGTCATGCAACAACAGAAACATCGGCGATATGTGTGTCTGGACTTTTAGCTAGTACCTATGTCCGGAGTACGGTATTACCAAATGATATATTAATGCATGTAAGTGAGGTGATACCGACAAAGACAAGGGAGACCGGAATGGCCATTTCTGTCATATTGGCCGTCATCAGCCAGTCGCACCCAACCCCAAGTGTGGATCACCTGAGATTCGAACCCGGAATCTTTCGTTATGGAGTTTGACGCTCTACCATTGAGCCAGGGGTCCGTTGTCCTGTCGGTTGCGATTGGGACTATCAGTTATGACAGATAAGCGCTCACCGATGAGGTTACAGAACGTGCTTGTTCCGTTGTGCTTTGGTCCTCATACTGTAACCCTCGCGGGCAGTCGACATCCTCTTATGTACATGTACTACTAGTCGCTGTGCGACCGCCTGCGGGGGTTCTAATATGAGCCCCAAGACGCAACGGAACGAGCACGTTCCGTAAGCTGATCGATGAGCTGCTGCGCGGCTGCTGGTTGGACTCGAGAGAGAGCCCTTCAGGCACAACGGAACGAGTGAGTTCCGTATGAACGATCGGTGAGCGCCCCCTAACATTATATATATATATATATATATATGTATGAATATTTGATAACAGACGTGGGGTTCATTCCGAGGTGATATAATGAACAAAGAGAAGGCTCTTCGGAAAATCCAGGTGCACTCGGGAATTCTTCAAGTTGATGACACCAACCCGTCGTCAGACGAAATGAGGATAGGGGAAAGTGAGCTCAGCAGTCTAGATCGGTTGGTGAGACAGGACAGACAAAGGCAGACAGACAGTTGGTTCATGAGAAGGGTGGGCATCGAGTTATGATAAGCTTCGGTGTCCACCCCTCTCACGCACCAGCTGTCTGCCTGTCGTTGTCTGTCCTGTAGCGTTAACCGATCTAGTCTGCCGATTTCACTTTCCCCTCTCTTCATTCGTCTGACGAACGGTTGGTGTCACCAACTTGAAGAATTCCCGAATGCACCTGGATTTTCCGAAGAGCCTTCTCTTTTTTTATATATGCATATATATAGCGTATTTGACGTCGATTTCTGTGATTAATCAGAAATAAGAGCGTTTATGGCGAGCTTTCTCGCATCGACAAAAAATGAGCAGACGACATAGTCCCGAGTCAACCCGAGATCGTTCTCGAGATGTCGGCAATGATAATGTTGAGTGGGCGCACATGGCCCCCTGGCCTCCCGGAGCGAACGAGCTCCGAGCGAGTGACAAAGGTCAAGAACAGTTAGCCAAGCGCCTATGACCCATCTGATGGACACCGTGTGTGCGCTGTGCGCCTGCGCCTGCCTGCACTTCAGGTCCCAGGTGTTGCTGGTCAGAGTTAGGATTGAATGAAGGCAGAAAAACCCTGAAACATTGCTGTATTAAGCAACTCTACAGTTCGACCGTCATTGCCGACGTGTAGGCTCCACTGCAAGGTGAGAGCAGGGACGGTGACTTGAGTGTGATTTAGTTTATATTGATAGTAGACTTGCACAGCATCTATCACAAACTCTCCTCCTCCTCCTCCATCTGGACCCGCTATAAAGCCAGAGTTAAGAAGACCGGGGGCGGGGGATGACGCAGTAGGATGGCATGGTTGAGTCCGCCCTTCGGCGCTTCACTGCACAGCCCCTGGTTCACACAGCAAATAGCCAAGTTTTTGACCAATAACAACAATGGGGGGGGGGGGCGACGGCGGTTGGGGTCCCCACTGTGCGCGACGTCTGCCGGCAACCGGGTCCGCCACCCCACCCCGGAATGTTCACATTTGTTATGATGTCCGCCAGAATCCGGGTTGGCCCCGTGTTGGTCCAGCGCATCTTTCATGTGGCCCGTTTGGGGGCAAATTAAGCAACTCAAATCCCTGTTGTCACCCCTTTTGCCATTTTGGAATGTGTTACAGCGGCCTAAAGTAGGAAAACTTAAGGTTCAATTATTATAGGGTCAGGCTGACCATACTAGCGAGCATCGGCGGTTGGCTATCAATGCAATCGTTTGCAAAGGAGGACTATCCTCATGCCTTCACAAACCGTTGCCTAAATACGCACCCAACGAGGAAGACGTACGACGAGATAGTGACAGTCTGTTCCACTCGCCTGCAAGCATTCCAGGACCACTAAATGCATTGCCATTGGAGTAACTCCTGATCTGGTTCATCGGCCAGAACTTTCGTGCGCAGGGGAACGACGCAGCTCAAATACCAGTTAGACACAGACGGCGCCAATCTGATATTATTTATCTTACCCCAGCTTCCAATCGCTCCTTCGATTTTGTGCGCCAGGTCGCAGGATAATCCTGTGCGCCTATGCTCGAACACAACCCGGCGGTGTGAAGGAGAGACGTTCCGTTCCAAGTGTCTGGCCACGCCCTGGAGGCAGGCCAAGAAGTCTGTCCCTTGGACACGAAATTGCATCGAAACGGCCTGAGAGTTAGTGGAGCAAAATGTTTTAAGCTGGTGCATGCAGTCGACCCTTCCCCGCTCCCTAACATACCTGACGTCGCGTCACTGTGACCGCCTTTTGACAGGTTCATTTGTGGCTGACGTGTCGTGAGATGTTATGCACGCCGCTTACTCATAGTTGCTTTCCCCGTGTCAGGAGATTAACCATTGTGGGGGTCAAAAGTTCAGACTAGTACAACGATGATTCTATCATGTATGTCAAGGTCGCCCTACTCAAGTTAAACCGGTCGCTTTTGAGACGACGACGACGGCCCCTAGCGCTGACATCGACGTTCGGCTTCTCACCCCGTGTTAGCGTATTTTTGGAACTAACAGCTCATAAATCTGGGTTGGACACGGAGATAAGAACCCCCCCCCCCAAATTACAGGTGTCTGTGCGCTACATTCCAGGGGAGGTGGTACTTATGTTCGTGCCCAGACTAGTTTTGATCCTAAAACTAACCATTTCGACCCTAATCCTAACACTAGCTCTCATAAACCCAACCTTAGTCCTTACTCCCTTGGCCTTCACTCCTGGAACTTGGTGCAAGGCCGTAGTGGCTATACTCCGAGCGCCTGTCGCAACGCTGGGCCTCTCGCGCGTGTCTGCACGTGCGCAGCAGGGCTGTCTGGCGTTCGCCCGCTCGATTTTCCAACTGGCCAATCGTATTCAAGGCCGAGTCAGACGTGGCCTGGCTTAAGGTGCTTTGACGCATTCCCCTGGAGGACGTAGGGGAAGCCGCCCTCTCGGCGCTGGACATGCCCTCGTTCGGCTGCTAACTCTCTCTCTAACCCTTTCTACAGTTATTCTGTACAGAATAAACAATCCTCCCAACTGGCCTCCACCTCTTTCCAGCCGGGGCCTGGCCTGAAGGTCGTGGCAGCCAGGGTCCCTCTTGGCTAAAGCTTCTGCAATAAGGCCACCGTAATACGGGAGAGTCTACATTACCGTGCCCTACCAAAAGCTCTTCCCGCCCTTTTGGTATTTCTGGGTTTTGGGTGGCGGGCTCACTCACTAGAGTGTTGTAGCGAAAATATTGAAAAGTAGTGAACTGTTTTAGATATTCGCCCACGTAAGAATTGCTCGGGAAGGGTTTTGTTACCGGTAAGTGTCGGGAAGCACCTTGAAGAGGCGTACGATGAGACTCAGAATGCCCTCAAAATTGAACACCTCATGAGGCTGTTTGAATTCTGCCAACAAACTTTCTTCACTTTTGCGGGAGAGACCTATGAACAAATCAAGGGAACCCCAATGGGCTCACCGGTCTCCGGTTTGGTGGCAGAACTGGTCCTACAGGAGTTGGAAAAGATTGCCTTCCTCCAACATGAACCGGTGTTCTGGCGACGTTACGTTGACGACACGTTCGTCATCGTAAAGAAGGACATGCTGCAACATTTTCCCAGCCTGCTTAACGCAGTCTTCCCGGATATAAAATTCACGAGAGAAGAAGAACAGGAGCAGCAGTTGCCCTTCCTGGATGTGCTCGTCAGACGAAACCTTAACGGTGAACTTGAAAGGACGGTTTATAGGAAGGCAACGAACACCACACAGCTTCTCAGTTTTCACAGTAACCATCCGGTAGCTCACAAACGAAGCTGTGTGAAGACGCTCTTCAAACGGATCCAAACTCATTGCAGCAAACTGGAAGATAGAGCGCGTGAGGCCCGTTATCTCCGCGACCAGTTTGTGCAAAATGGCTATCCGAGGGCATTCATAAGTCGCTGCCTACGCGGTCGCCACCAGAGAACTCAAACATCAACGCCACCGACGATATGGCATTCTCTGCCATACATCAAGGGTGTTTCAGAAGCGACCGAGCGCATTGCTGCGGAGCTAGGGGTTGGAATCGCACACCGCCCCAAAGCCACCATGCGCAACAGGGTCATGAAGATCAAAGACCAGTTAAAACCCGAAGAGCAATCTGGAGTAGTGTATCGCATTCCGTGTCAAAATTGTCCGTGTAATTACACAGGACAGACTGGACGCATGCTCGGATCCCGCATACATGAACATAAGCTGGCTGTGCGGCGAGGCGACGCATTGTCACAAGTGGCCGCCCACACCTACGAAATGGGTCACGAGTTTGACTTCGCAGCCACCAAAATAGTTGCCCACGCCGGAAACAAAACAGGCCGAGAATTGATTGAAGCCTGGGCCTCGGATGAGAACTCGGTCAATCGATTTATCGATCTGGCGCCGGCGTACAGAGCCCTTCGTAGTCACCTCCAGTCGTGCGACGTCGGTCGATGATTGGGTCTACGTGCCTTATAACTGCCGCTTGTCCCGTTTCTGCCACTACCTCTGACGATGAACTCCTGTACGAGTCTGAAAGCTCAGGATAATAAACGAATTGTTCCGGTGCTCGATTCTTCTTCTTCTTCTTCTTCTTCAAATATGTATACACCTGGAACTCGAAATTTCGCCTTCATTCGTGAAGCACCTTAGGCCTGTTTCAACATCTTGGCGTGGAATAAAAACTTAGTTTGTAAAATTTTCCACAATGACTTTCGGTGTCTAAGTGGGCTTGATACTTTGTCTAGAAACTGCCCATGGAAGACTCATTTTATGTACCTTTTACGAGAAGCAATTTCTTCCCAAAATTACTCACTGTGAAGTAAAAAATTTCCTATAATACATAAGAAGCTCACTAGGAGTGCAACGGGCCAGGCGAGGACAGCCGTTTCACGGTCGTTGCCCATCATCGGTACGATTCGATGATTACATATCCCGCTTCATATGGCCTATGATATACTGATGATCGGTAACGGCAGTGAAACAGCTGTCTGCGTCTGGCCTGTTGCACTCCTAGTGAACTGCTTGTGTATTATATGTGGTATGTGTCCTATGGCACGACATCCGTTGTCGTCAATAGCAGGCCGGCGGGCGGACAGAATGGGACCGAGTGAGGGTCAAACGCTTACTTGACATAACTATTTCCCTCATAAAAAGTCAAACGGATGAACAAAGAAGACTAGTCGATTACCGAAGCCATTTGTCTACTCCTCTTATCTTCCGAACTCGTGCGGGAGTCCACAGTCAGAGATAACAAGCAGTTATCAGGGGATGAGCAAATCAACGTCCATTGCTGCGGGTCTAGATGCTCAGGGCTCCGTATACTGGCGTCGGACCGATAAATCAATTGAATGAAACTCCGTCCCAGGTTCTCGCTTTAATCACCTCTCGTCTTTTCTTGGTTCTGGCGTGGATAATTATCATGGTGGCTACAAAGCTGAACTCGTGACCTGTTTTGAAGGTGTGGCTAGCCACTCGGGTCAATTCGCCGCCCCCCCGCTCTGTTCGCGTTTACGCGTTCTGAAAGTTCGTCCAGTCTGGCATGTGTAATTACAGGGTCAGTTTACCCACGGCGGCATCAGGAAAGGCGAGAATTGATTGAAGCCTGGACCTCGGATGATAACTCGGTCGGTCCACGTATCGATCTGGTTCCGGCATACAAGAAACTTGCGACATTGGTCTTTGATTGACCAATAGTCCCTCTGATTATCGCTTGCACTGTTGCCGCTGTCGCCTCTGTCAATGAATTCTCGCGCGATATCGACGGCGCAAAAAAACAAACAAATTGTCCCGCTGCTCGACCAGTCTTCATTTATCTGCGTTCAACTGGAACTCGACCATCCACCTCCAGTCAAACGAATCAGTATTTTGCACATACGAACGGTTTTTTGCGCTTTCTTCGGGCTTCGCAACTATTTAAATAAATGTTGTCTGTAGTGGGTCTCCCAGTCCACTTATATCAGAGACAGCTTTGGCAGAAAGGCACTTTTTTATAAAAAAGACTCAATATATAAGCCTTTTAACCAGAGTTTGTAGGCGTACTTGCAAATTTCACAGGAGACGCCCGATTTCATTGGTAATATTTGCGCTTGTGACCAATGCATCCGGATGAGATGATAACTGGCCGAAAACCTCCATGTAGAAGCCGATACGTGACTAGGTTCTTGATTACCAGAAAGCGATGTTTTGGGGATTCTTTGATTTGGTACCCTCAGCACTGACTAAGCAGTAGGTGCGCAGGGTCAAAACAGGGCCAGACTGGTTAGTGGTGTGTATCTGCCGGGCTGTGCTTGGTCCGTGCATGCGTGTGACACGTCTTGGACGTAGGCTTCATCGTGAATGAAGCCCGGTACGTGTGGGGAGGACACCGGGTCGTGTGTGGCCCGCGAAGACGGACTATTTGACTTTTTCGGCCACAACCCCCCGACTTGGCTCTGGTGTGGCGAGGTACCAGACTAATTCACTTTTGACAATCTAGTCCCGTATTCTTTTACCAAACTGCTTGTTTTAACTTGACGAAAACAACTCGGCTGGACAGCCCCACTTCGCTAGCATGCTGCGTTGTCGTGCTCTGTCGTGAGGTCATTTTACGTTCTGAATATCAGTATTATTAACCAGTCGGTTTTACTTACTGCCCTTAATATTTAGGGCTCGTGAGATATCGTTCCTTAGTTCGTGGGAACACCATCATTTACGTCACAGGTTGTCTTAGCAACGGAGCACGGTAGACGTAAGAAGAGGGAGTGGGGTAGATGCATAGCAAGCCTAGTTCGCAATGACAGTGTTCACGAGAAAGTCACCTTCTAGGCCACCGGTGGGCTTTATCGTTTGCGAGATGGGAATTGTCGTGAAAGTGTTTTGTCAAAGCTGTATGTAGGTATGCAAAAAAGGATTTTAAGTCTTCCTCGACTTCTGGTGTTGTGTTCCCCAGGTCTGCTAAAGTACTAACGTAAATAACGACAATAATAACGTTCTCATGAACTAACAAACGACGTTTTACGAACTCGATGTAAGAGGAGCGGTAAGGAAAATCAGTTGGTGAACAAAGTTAACATTCAAAACGTCAAACGACCTGACAGTGGAGTACATCACATGCAGCGCCGTGTCCGACACATTAAAACAAGGGATACAGTAAAGGTAATGTGGCGAGATTGCCAGAGGTCAATTACTCAGGTACCTCGACACTGTACTTATCGATTAGAGCCTTCTATGAAACGACCGCTTTGGACTGAGGAACGGAACACGCCTCCAGACGTATGCATGCACGTACTGAACAGTGTCTGCTTTCTAATCATTTTGGCCGCCCAGGCGTTCTAGCAGGGAGGAAACACTAGAAGTCACGAGGCAACGGCGGAAGTAGCAGTCGCAGTTGTTGAGCGGTGGCGATAGTAACAGTATCTGCAGAAGTAGTATTAGTAGTAGTAGTAGTAGTAGTAGTAGTATCAGTAGCAGTAGTAGTAGTAGTAACAGCAGTAGTAATGGTAGTAGTAGTAATGGTAGGAGTAACGGTAGTTGTAATAGTAGTAGTGGTATCAGTAATAGTAGTAGTGGTAGTAGTAGTAGTAGTAGTAGCGGTAGTAGTAGTAGTAGTAGTAGAAGTAGAAGTAATAGTAGTAGTAGTAGTAGTAGTAGTAGTAATAGCAGTAGTAATAGTAGTAGTAGTAGTAGCAGTAGTAATAGTAATAGCATTGGCAGTATTAGCAGTAGTGGTAGTAATAGTAGTAGTAGTAATAGTAGTAGTAGGCGTAGTAGTAGCAGCAGTAGTAGTAGTATCAGCAGTATTAGTAGTAGTAGTAGTAATAATAGTAGTATTGCTAGTAATGGTAGTAGTAGTAGTAGTAGTAGTACAAGTAGAAGTAATAGTAGTAGTAGTAATAGCAGTAGTAGTGGTAGTAGTAATAGCAGTAGTAATAGTAGTAGTAGCAGTAGTAATAGTAATAGCATTGGCAGTAGTAGTAGTAGTAGTAGTAGTAGAAGTAGTAGTAGTGGTAGTAGTAGCAGCAGTAATAGTAATAGTAGTAATAGTAGTAGTAGTAGTAGTAGTAGTAGCGGTAGTAGCAGTAGTAGTAGTGGTAGTAGTAGTAGCAGCAGCAGTAGTAGTAGTAGTGGCAGCAGTATTAGTAGTAGTAGTAGTAGTAGTAGTAGTAGTAGTAGTAGTAGTAGTAGTAGTAGTAGTAGTAGTAGTAGTAGTAGTAGTAGTAGTAGTGACCGACGATGTCCGCCGTGTGCCCCACAGGAGGCTGAGGGCAGGGAAGTTGACTGATGCGTGAATTAGTTCATAGTGGTAATGGACTTGCGCTTCAGTTACCGTAATCTCTTCTCTCTCATCCGGTGTCAAGACAGAGTCAAGAAGACCGGAAGCTGGGAAGGGCACAGATGGTCGGCACGGCGCAAATACGCACCTGAGCATACTACCACCACACCCCTGGTGCACAACGTACGGTGATCAGGATTTTATGCCATAACACTGGGAGGGGGCAGCACGGATCCCAGCTGGCGCGGCGCGTGCCTGCAACTGAATGCGCCACCACATCCCAAAGTTGGGATTTGCTATGGGTGCGCATCCCCAAAAACGCCTGTCGGACTCCGTAGTCCAGCGCATCTACTGCTTGGTCCGTTTTACGGAGCAAGAGGTGCTCCAAGCAGGCACTTGGTGTCTTTTTACGTCAGTGTCGCAGTCGTTGTTTGTCCCGTCAACGAGTCTGTGACTCAGACGACGATGACTCAGACTGCGCCCACGGCTAACCGGGTAAGGGGAAGACAGGTGACGGACTGCACCACTTTTTAATCATTTATTTGATGACTGTTTGTCCTGGTGGTCCAGCCATACCTAGCGCTGCGCCATGGTTGACTCTGTGCAGCGTAGAATGCTATTACGGACAAAGACGAGGGAGACTGGAATGGCCATTTCTGGCTGATCGAAACCGACGGGGAAATGGGGTCGTGGCCCAGCGGTTAGAGGCGTGGAATTCTAACTAACAGGCCGCGAGTTCGAGCCTCGGGTGTTCCACACTTCGGGGTTGGGTATGACTGGCTGCCGACGGCTAATAAGCCAGAAACGGTTATTCCAATGCTTCTTTTTCTCACTGGTAAAAGTATTCTGCCTATATTACGCGCCAATTTGCAGCTGCTGGTTGAGTTCGAGAAAGGGAAGACACAACGGGAGGGGGAGTTCCAAAGAAATTATCGCTGAGCGCCCCTCTACCATCTGTGTTTCATTTATTTCATTGTAGAAAACTTTCAAAGTCAACTTCGTGAGAGGGCTGACTGGCTCCCACACGGTTCGCAGAAATCTGCGCGCAAGTGTATGTCCAACCAGGTCTAACTTCGGCCTGGGGCTCTACCTATTATCCGGAGGAGAGGTATAGTTGGTTCCTTAGCGCAGTTCGCCTTCAGAGGCCACTGCGCTTGCTTAACGTCAGGTTTATGACCGACGGCAAGGCTCTTTGTGGACCATC